CTCACAGGCCTGCCCATCAGTCCCGCACAGATATTCAGTGTCTGGTTTCTGGCCAGCTCCGTGGAGGGGCTTTAAGCAGAATTCTGACTCTTTGGGGTGGGGGATTAGCAACTGGGGGAAACTTAAGGATCCAGAGATTCCCCCAAGAGGAGTGTCTGGAAGGATCTGTGCCTGGACAGTGGCTGAACCTTTCCAGTGTTCTTTCATTTCTGATTTCATCAGTCTCAATAAAGTTCCGATCTCTCTTTAACACCGCGTGCTTTCTCATGGTCTCCAGCTAGGTTAGTCTCTTCGTCCTCCTTTTATCTGGTAGAGTGAACTCATGTGTAAGTTTCTTGGGGAGAGACTGGAAATTAAGAAACTGCCCACTCGTGTGTTAGCTGGATGCCCCAGGACCTTCTTTGGGACTGAGGCTGAGTTGCTCTCAGCCACCCAGGAAGCCCAGGCCGGCATGGTGTCCTCTGAAACTTAGAGAACTGCTCTCTCCTCAGCTCCTCAATGCCTTCTTCCCCTGGGCATCCACGCGGCTGCCTCAGATACCTGAGGGCTCCAGTGGAGGTGGGCACAAAGGTTTCCTGAATGATAAGGCTGCCACCTCCTCTTGGCTTCACCAGAAAGTGATTTCCTCCTCCAGGAAGTGTGGACTTGAGTCTCCCGCTTGGACCTGGCTTTAGAGAAACCTGAACGTGTCCTTGACTCCCTGAGCCCTTTCTACCACATTTTGCTGTTTCTAGTGTCCTCTTCAGAGCCGAGGTCCTTTAATTTTTATGCTTTACTTCTGGGGTCTTCGAAGGAGTTTCACATCTTGCTTGAGAACAGGTTTTTTTGTTGTTTTCAATCTTTTTTTTTTTTTTTTTCAGAGATGGAGTTTTGCTCTGTCGCCCAGGCTGGAGTGCAGTGGTGCCATCTCGGCTCACTGCAACCTCCGCCTCCCGGGTTCAAGCGATTCTCCTGCCTTAGTCTCCTGAGTAGCTGGGACTACAGGCACACACCACCATGCTTGGCTCATTTTTGTATTTTTGGTAGAGACAGAGTTTTACCGTGTTGGCCAGGCTGATCTTGTGCTCCTCACCTCAAGTGATCTGCCTGCCTCAGCCTCCCAAAGTGCTGGGATTACAGGCGTAAGCCACCACATCTACCCAATTTTTTTTTTTTTTTTTTTTTTTTTTGAGACACTCTGGCACCCAGGCTGGAGTGCAGTAGCGTGATCATAGTTCATTGCAGCCTTGACCTCCTGGGCTCAAGCAATCCTCCCGCTTCAGCCTTCTGAGTAGCTGGGACTACAAGCACATGCCACCATGTCTGACTAACTGAAAAAAATTTTTTTTGTAGGGATGAGGTTTCATTATGTTGCCCAGGCTGGTCTCAAACTCCTGGCCTCATTCCATCCTCCTGCCTCAGCCTCCCAAAGTGTTGGGATTAGAGATGTGAGCCATCTCGCAGGTAGAGAGCAGGTTTTGAAAGGGAAAAAACTGGGCCCTGGGGAGAAAGGGAGAGTCTGCAGTCCACAGTCTTTGAGCAACTGAGCAACCTGACCCAACTAAGGCCACTCCTGTTCACCCATCCAACCCTTGTCCCTCTTCCACCCTTTCCCTGGAGAAATCCAGAGCTCTTGCCTGGAAGAGGGAGGTCTGTTTTAAAGATAAATGTGAAGTAATATGCCAGAATCTGCCTCAAAATTGTGCTGTTTCACAAGCCTCACCATCTTCACGTTGCCTGCCATTAAGATGATAGAGAAACAGAAACAGAAAATGGAGAAAGGACAATCAGGGACTAGGATAAACAGATAAAATGAGGGGCGTGAATGGAGTGTTTTTAAGGGTAAGTGGATGTATCATCTGAATCCATGAGGGTTACACATGGTTATATGCGTAAGGTGTGTGCAAATACGTATGTAAAGCACATGCATGTGGGGAAACAGGTGCCCAGGTACTTAGCACAGTGCCTGACATGCAGGAGCTCATCACCCGTGTGCCATCAGAGTGAATAAGTGGGGTTTGGGGGAGTAAAGGTGTCTGTGCGGGTTTTTGAGACAGGGTCTCGCTCTGTCACCCAGGCTGGGTGACGTGATGCAGTCACAGCTCACTGCAGCCTCGAATTGCTGGCCTCCAATGATCCTCCTGCCTCAGCTCAGCTTCCCAAGTAGCTGGGACTACAGGTGCATATCAGCACACCCAGTTAATTAAAAAAAATTTTTTTTTGGCTGGGTGCGGTAGCTCATGTCTGCAGTCCTAGCACTTTGGGAGGCCGAGGCTGGCAGATCACTTCAGGTCATGAGTTCAAGACCAGCCTGGTCAACATGGTGAAACCCAGTCTCTACTAAAAATACAAAAATTAGCCAGGCATTGTGGAGGGCAGGAGAATCACTTGAACCCAGGAGGCAGAGGTTGCAGTGAGCTGAGATCGCACCGCTATACTCCAGGCTGTTTTTTTTAGAGATGGGGTCTTGTCATCTTTCCCAGGCTAGTCTCAAACCTCTGGGCTCAAGTGATCCTCTCACCTCAGGTAATTTTTCTTCACAAGAAAGTAAAGGCAATAAAAAAGCATTAGAGTAACAGAAACTGGCTGGGCTAGGTGGGTCACGCCTGTAATCCCAACACTTTAGGAAGCCAAGGTGGGAAGATCGTTTGAGGACAGGAGTTCAAGACTGGCCTGGGAAACATAGTGAGACCACCTCTCTACAACAACAAAATTAGCTGGGTGTGGTGGCATGCGCCTGTAGTCCCAGCTACTCAGGTGGCTGAGGTTGAAGGATCGCTTGAGCCCAGGAGGTAGAGGCTGCAGTGAGCCATGATCCCACCACTGCACTCCAGCCTGGGCAACAGAGCAAGAACCTGTCTCAGTTAAAAAACAAAACAGATAGAAACTGAGAGTAGTATGGTGTGACATGAGGTTGTCTGTAGAATGCTGACCAGCTTGGTCAACATGGCGAAACCCCGTCTTTGCCAAAAATACAAAAATTAGCTGGGCGTGGTGGTGTGTGCCAGTGGTCCCAGCTACTTGTAGGCTGAAGCAAGAGAATCACTTAAGCCTGGGAGGTGGAGGATGCAGTGAGCCGAGATCGCACCACTGCACTCCAGCCTGGGTGACAGAGCGAAACTCTTGTCTCAAAATATATATATATATATATAAAGTAATTTTTGTTAGAAAATTTATTGAGGATTTTTCCTGAACCAAAAATACTTAAAAAAAAAATCTTAACTCCATCTCCCTTTCATATTTGATCTTTACCATGATCTTGTAAAGTAGATGGGGGCAGGGATATTTCCTATTCCTAAACCCAAATCTAACATGGGGAAACTGCATCTACAGAGGTGCAGTTTTGCCTGAGTTCGGCCTGAATTCACTCTGCTAATGCAAGACAAACCACACCAAAAGGCCAATTTCCTACCCATCCCAATATCCTTTCTACTCTATCCATCGCATTGATTTGTGGTAATCTGGAGCTGACAGCAAATTGTGCACTGTATATTTTTCAGACACACTAAAAGATGAGATTTTGTATTGTGAAGGGTGCAAAAAGATTTGTTATATTTCCATTTTCTCCAAACTTCTGAATTTTTTTCTCACCAGGATTCCAAAAAAATTTAGATACTCTGCATATTAAGGCATAGTCTCTCACCTGGGGGATGCAGCCATCTAGTAAAGGATACAACGCACAATTGTAAATCAGGATACACGGGTCTGGCAAAGAACTTTCTTTCACATTTGCAAATATAATTATTTGCAAAGCCTGATCAATGCATATAAATTGTTAAATTATGTAATGGATTCTTTCTATTGAGAAGAATCAATTGACACAACCTCAGGGCTCTTCTGAGAATACTGAGACACACTAAGGGGCTATGGAGTTTGGTTGGAGAAGGAGTGGAGTTTTAGCTACACTTTGAAGGATGGGCACCTTTGGTGGGTCACAGATAAGGGGGATGGAGTACAGGGGAAGATCGAGGGCGCCCAGATGCAGGCAAGGGAAGACCGCTGTGTATGGCGGGGATAAGGGAATGGAAGAGCAGTCAAGGTGAGACGAGATGAATTAGGGAATAGTGGGGCTTAAGGGGAAGTCCAGGGAGTCTGGGTCTGAGGCCACTGCAGGTTTCTGAGAAGGGAAGATCTAGCGGGCAGCTGTGCTGGGGCGATATGGGGAGGCCGGAGCGTGGCACGCAGGAGCCGAGCGCCTGCCCCTGGGCCTGCTGCGTGGGGTCTCTGTCGTCCCCCGATGCTGCCCCACTCCAATCCGATGCCAGCGCCCCACAAGGCGGTCGCGAGCAGAAACCCATCCACCCCATCGGCCTGGCCTCGCCAGGGGACCCCGCTCGCCGTAGGCAGGCACCAATGTGTCGTTTCTCTGGATCCTTTGGTCAATTAAGATCGCGGTGACAGGGCCCCCAGGCCGTAGGGGGACCCGGACCGCCGATCCCCGCGCGGCGTGGACGGGCTTCCGGCATCCGTGCGGGGACAGGGCTGGAGGCTTCGGAGGCCACGGCCGGGTCCGGCCACTCTTCCTTCGTCTGAGGGAAAACGTCGCGGCTGGGGAGGGCCTCAGATTTCCCCGGCACGCGTCCTCTCCTTAGTGGGGAAACTGAGGCCCGGGGCAGGACAGTTCTGGACCAGGGTCGTGATGGTGGGGAAAGTGGGCACCTGACTGAACCTGGCCTCGTCCTTCGCGCCCAGATCCTCACACGCTGTCCCCGAGGGGGTCATTACCAGACCCTGCGGACAGGGACCGATCCCGCGACCACTCAGCAGTGACACATGGCCCACCCGCCAGTTCGCCTCGCGCATGCGCACCGCCTTCCCTTCGGGCTCGGCCCCGCCCCCTCCGGGCCGCCCTCTTCGGACCGAGTTCGGGGTTGAGGTCAGCGCAGGCGCAGACGCAGACGCGTAGCGGCGGCGCTTCCTGAGCGCTGCGCTCGGGAAAGCCTCGGGGTGGGCGGTGCCTCGTCGCTGGGGGCGGGGCGGGGCGGGGCGGGGCGGGCAGGCGCCCACTGCCTGAGCCGGATGGCAGAGCCGCCCCTCCGCCCTCTCCCAGCGCTGCCTCGCGTCCCTGGGTTCCGAGCTCAGCAGCGCGCAAGCTCCGTGGCCGCCAGGACCAGCCCTGCCTCCTCAGCTGAGGAAGCCGCTCCCACCCTTCTCCGCCTCACGCCGCGGACTCAGCTCCCGGGCCTTGCGGGCTCTGCCTGTGGGGTGGGGAGGGCAGCGAACCTCTGTCCTCTCAGGCTGTCACCGCGCGATTGGGAGGGCGCCAGGAGGCCGAGGTCTGGGCTGCCGTGCGCTGCCGGTGCCTCACCCCGCAGGTCGGTCCGCCTCGTGGGCGGTGGGGCGGACGACCGGGAAGCCCCGAGATCTCCAGATCCTCGAAAAAGCCCTGAACTTGCGCAGTGACTTCCCATTGAGTCCGCGAGGTTCTGGAGACCCGGGAGACGGAAGGAACACCCAAGGCCGACTGCTGCCCTCAGTTATTGGGGTGAGGTTTCCACCTGAGGCCAGCGCCCAGGGCAAACAGGAAATGAGAGTTTTAGGAGATTCTCCAACCGGAATGTCACCTCCCTTCCCCGCCAGAAACGAACCGCACTCTCCTCCTGTAATTGAAAACCGAAGGGTAGCCCTTAGGGTGAATGAAAACTCCCGAAACCAGGAGGGTCAGGGAGGGTCATCATCTGAATAGAATGACTCTTGTGGCTCCTGGGGTTCCCTGAATCAGGCAATTTAGGAACTGAAAAGGCCTTACCCTCCAGGATCAAGTAGTCATTAGCCTCTCCCTCCCTCCCTCTCTGAATCAGTCATTTTAGGAACCGAAAAGGCCTTACCCTCGAGGATCAAGTAGTCATTAGCCTCTCTTTTCCTTCCTTCCTTCCTTCCTTCCTTCCTTCCTTCCTTCCTTCCTTCCTCCCTCCCTCCCTCCCTCCCTTTTTTTTTTTCTTTTCTGTTTTGAGACTCGAACTCCCTGGGCTCAGGTGATCCTCCCGCCTCAGCCTCCCGAGTACTTGGAATTACAGGTGGGCGCCACCATGCCCGGCTAATTTATTTTTACTTTTTTTTATCTTTTTTGAGACAGAGTCTTGCTCTGTCGCCCAGGCTGGAAGGCAGTAGTAGCCCGATCTCAGCTCACTGCAGCCTCAAACTCCCAGGCTGGAGTGTTCCTCCTGCCCCAGGCTTCCCAGCAGCTGGGACAATAGGTGTACATCATTACACCTGGCTAATTTTTTATTTAAAAGAATTTTTGCTAACGCTGCGCGTGGTGGCTCATGCCTGTAATCCCAGCTCTTATGAGACGCCGAGGCGGGCGGATAACAAAGTCAGGAGTTCGAGACCAGCCTGGCCAATATAATGAAACTCTGTCTCTACTAAACATACAAAAATTAGCCGGGTGTGGTGGCGGGCGCCTGTAGTCGCAGCTACTCGGGAGGCTGAGGCAGGAGAATTGGCTTGAAGCCGGGAGGCAGAGGCTGCAGTGAGCCGAGATCATGCCACTGCACTCCAGCCTGCCCCACAAGGCGAGACTCTGTCTCATACACAAAAACAACAACAACAAAATACTTGACTGGGTGCGATGGCTCACGCCTGTAATCCCAGTACTTTGGGAGGCTAAGGCAGGTGGATCAGTTGAGATTGGGAGTTCGAGACCAGCCTGACTAACATGGTAAAACCCGTCTCTACTAAAAATACAAAATTAGCCAGGTATGGAGGCACAAACCTGTGGTCCCAGCTACTCAGGAGGCTTAGACAGGAAGATGGCTTAAAAACAGGAGGTGGAGGCTGCAGTGAGCCGAGATCATGCCCCTGCACTCCAGCCTGGGCAACAAGAGTGAAACTCCGTCTCAAAAATACAATAAATTGGGCTTCTCGCTCTGTCGCCAGGCTGGTCTCAAACTTCTTATCTCAAGCACTTCTCCCGCCACAGCCTCTGTGCTGGGATTACAGGTATGAGCCACTGTACCCGCCTGGCCTCTCTTTGAAACCTGCCCAGTGACAGGGATCTCAATGCAGGGCATTGCATGTCTTCTGACGGGATGCTGGTTTAGGTCACTCCCTCTGCCCTGCAAGCCAGCTGTGTCCCCAGCGTTTCCCAGGGCAGAGACAGATCACTTCCTGTGAGAGTGTTTTGGTGTCAGCGTGGAACGGCTTCCCTGTTTGGCCCCCTGGGTATACTGGAACCTGGGAAGGGACCTCTGCAGCTAACCCAGGGCTGGGCAGTGAGTTACTGAAAGGAAAAGGAATTTATTTTTAATTTCCTGGGTTCTCTTGGCTGTTGCTTTGGAGTGGAGATCATTTAGGCATCTGGTACCCTGATGACCTGAGAGGAGAAGGAAAGTCCTTGGAAAGGAGTTAGGTGACTTCTGGGTAAGAATGAGCTGATACAAGGGTGCAGGGTGGGAAGAGCTGCTTAGTGGCCAACCTGACCATCATTGCCCTCTTCACTAGGGAGCTTTTATTCTCATCTGTGTCCTCCTCCTGTAACTTAACACCCAGAAGTAGCAGGGAATTGGATCATGAAAGAGCCATGTAGTCCACCCCACTCATTTGTGTGTGTGTAACTGTGTCTATCTATCTATCTATCTATCTATCTATCTATCTATCTATCTATATGTATGTGTGTGTGTGTGTATATATATATATATATATTTTTTTTTAGAGATAGGGTCTCACTGTGTTGTCCAGGCTTAAACTCCTGGCCTCAAGCAGTACTCCTACCTCAGCCTCCCAAAGGGCTGGGATTACAAGCATGAGCCACTGTGCCCGGCCCCAACCCACTCATTTTAAAGGTGAGGAAACTTGAGGCCTGGAAATGGAAAAATGTGACCCAGGGTCACAGAGGGAACTGGTGGCAAAGATGAGACTTAAATTCAGGTCTCCCGATTCCCAGGCCTGCCCTTGTTCTACCCTGTGTATTAGTCAGGATCCAGCAGAAAACGGATTAAATTGGGGACATTTAAAGTGGGGGCTTTGAGGTAGGATATAGGGAAACTGCTATGGAATGTGGAATATTCTGGGGCTGGTGACAGTGGGATCTTACCACCTCTGCACCTGGAGGCAGGCTGTGCGGAGGGCAGGCTTATTAGAGCTGGGACTTTAAGTCAAGGAACTCAAAAAGGGACATGGAGGAATAAAAACCAAACCCTGTCCCCACCTTCTCCCTCCCTCTGGTTTTGGTTCCAGGCTCCACATGGACCAAACCCAGCTGGCAGTCAGAGGGCAAGAGCGTCTTGATGCACGGCATACAGACCGATTCCAGGGTGCAGTGCACGATGGAAAAGGAGGAACGTACCTGAAGAGGCAAATGAAAGATATCCAGCATCACAGGCAACCTTGCTTCTACTACCATAAAAATAGTTTACATTTCTTGAGCACTTAGTCTACGTCAGACATGTCCATGATCTCATTGCGTCTTCCCATAAACCCGGTTTCCTCCTTTGGACAGATAAAGAAACTGACTAGCGAAACAGCTTGAGGGACGGAGGTATGGACAGCTAAGCTGACATCTTCCCATCCAGAGTCTTATCTGGTGAATAGTAGTTCCCCTGTGAATGTTTGTGGAATGAATGAATGAATGAGGAGCAGGCATATATAGGGTTAGATGGCAAACCTCCCTGAGGAGCCTTAGCGGGGCCTCTTCTCCATGGGACTTGGAGGGTCTCTGTAGAGATGAGCCCTGTGCCTTTTGCTATGTCTCCTGTCGGCTTGTAATAGGCCAGCTTCTTCAGGTTAAAAGGGCAGGCATGAAAGTCTGAATAAAAACCCTTGGACTTGTGCTTGACTTTCCTAGTGGAGGTTAGCTTTCGGAATTAAAAAAGTCTGGGCTGGGCATGGTGGCTCACACCTGTAATCCCGAGGTGTGCAGATCACCTGAGGTCAGGAGTTTGAGACCAGCCTGGCCAACATGGCGAAACCCTGTCTGTACTAAAAATACAAAAATTAGCCGGGCGTGGTAGCTACTTGGGAGGCTGAGGCAGGAGAATTGCTTGAGCCCGGGAGGCGGGGGTTGCAGTGAGCCGAGATTGCACCACTGCACTCCCGCGTGGACAACAGAGTGAGACTCTGTCTCAAAACAAACAAGCAAACAAACAAAAAAGTCTCTCTGAAGCCATCTTTACCCACCCCTTGATTCCTAATACCCCCACAGTCTGGGCAGGAGCCCAAGGTGCTACCTGTCTCCCTGCTCAACTCATCCCCACGGCTCCACCCACGAGCTCAGTTCTGCTAATTGCATTACTGGTGCTGCTGCTGGAACACAGCGTTCAGGGATGAACCAACAACCAGTTTGGTGGGTGTTTCACCAGCACCCTGCAAGTGGCCTGCTGTGGAGCAGAAACCTCTGCTGGAAAACGCTGAGTCATTTCTTCCATGCCTTCCTCTTTACTGCCTTTTCCCCTTTTTACTGGTCTCTTCTTTCCTAGAGGGTCCCATGAAGTCTTTCAGTTGTTGTTCATAATCTAAGCCCCTCAAGCATAGAAAAGGAACCTAATACATATTGATCACATGCTATGTGCCTGACACGCTGTGCCAGATGCTTCATATCTAGATCTCATTTAATTTCATAGCAATTTATTAGGTAAAAAAGGCAGAGAGCTCACAGCTGAGAAAACTAAGACTGGTTAGGGAACATGTGGAAGATTACACAGCTGTTAAGAGGGGAGCTGGCATTTGAACTCTAGTCTAATCCCAAAGTCCATTCTGACACACTTCACACTCAGAATAAACCCTATACCTGGCCAACAGTGAGATCCCCATCTCTACAAAAAATTAAAAACAAAATTAGCTGGGCATGGCCAGGCGCGGTGGCTCACGCCTGTAATCTGAGCACTTTGGGAGGCTCAGGCGGGTGGATCATGAGGTCGGGAGATGAGACCATCCTGGCTAACATGGTGAAACCCCATCTCTACTAAAAATACAAAAAATTAGCTGGGCATGGTAGGGGTGCCTGTGGTCCTAGCTACTCGGGAGGCTGAGGCAGGAGAATGGTGTGAACCCGGGAGGAGGAGCTTGCAGTAAGCGGAGATCGCCCCACCGCACTCCACCCTGGGTGACAAAGTGAGACTCCACCTCAAAAAAATAAAAAAAATAAAAAATTTGGCCTGGCGCGGTGGCTCACGCCTGTAATCCCAGCACTTCGGGAGGCCGAGACAGGTGAATCACGAGGTCAGGAGATCGAGACCATCCTGGCTAACATGGTGAAACCCCGTCTCTACTAAAAATACAAAAAATTAGCTGGGTGCGGTGGCAGGCGCCTGTAGTCCCAGCTACTTGGGAGACTGAGGCAGGAGAATGGCGTGAACCCGGGAGGTGGAGCTTGCAGTGAGCCGAGATTGCGCGGCTGAGCTCCAGCCTGGGCGACAGCGAGACTCCATCTCAAAAAAAAAAAAAAAAAAATAGGCCGGGCGCGGTGGCTCAAGCCTGTAATCCCAGCACTTTGGGAGGCCGAGACTGGCGGATCACGAGGTCAGGAGATCGAAACCATCCTGGCTAACTCGGTGAAACCCCGTCTCTACTAAAAAATACAAAAAAACTGGCCGGGCGAGGTGGCGGGCGCCTGTAGTCCCAGCTACTCGGGAGGCTGAGGCAGGAGAATGGCGAGAACCCGGGAGGCGGAGCTTGCAGTGAGCTGAGATCCGGCCACTGCACTCCAGCCTGGGCGACAGAGAAAGACTCCGTCTCAAAAAAAAATAAAAAATAAAAAATAAAAAATAAAATAAAATAAAATAAAATAAAATAAAAAAATAAAATAAAATAAAATAAAATAAATAAAAATTAGCTGGGCATGGTGGTGCACGCCTTTAGTCCTGGCTGCCTAGGAGGCTGAGGTGGAAGAATCACTTGAGCCCAGGAGGTCGAGGCTGCAGTGAGCTGTGATCGGGCCACTGCTCCATCCTGGGCGACAGAGCAAGACCCTGTCTTGAAAAAAAAAGAAAGAATAAACCCTGCTGCTGCAGTATTTGGGTTTATCTTGTACCTTTGTGAGTCAGAGCCTTTTCCTTGTGCCGTTACCTGTATCCCTGGGGCTCGGGTGTGTGGAAGGTGCTGTTTCAGCTCACCCTTGTGGGTTTCCATGTGGAGTGCCTAACATTTCATTCCATCCATCGTCTGTCATTCCGTCCATCTATTCCTTTGCTGCTGATGGCTCCTCCATCTGGGAGGCCATTTCTTCTGTTTCTGAATGGCAACATCCAAGCCCAGTTCAAATGCCACCTCCGCCATTGTCTCCCTTGGATCTCATTTGCCTCCGGATTCCCAAACTTAACCTTTGTTACCCTTCCCTGAAGGATTTCTTACGTTATTCCCCGTGTACAGTAATCTGGGCATGTAATTAATTTTCCTTGTTGTGGGAGGCAGGGATTATTCTGCATTAGTACTTGAATCTCTCCAGGACGGTAAACTAGCAAGCCTCCAGCGAATACACACATCAGAGGAGCCCTTCATGGGGAAAAGGGTTTGTAAAGTGAAGATGTCTTCCTCTACTTTACATGTTAACTTTGCTTAAAAACAATATTCAGCTGTATGATAAATGTTCTGGTTGAGTCTAGGGTGATAGTAGGGCACTCCTAGGGAGAAATTCCTTGTGTTTTCCTTGAGAGCTTCGAATTTGTTTTTTGGGGTTTTTTTTTTTTTTTGAGACAAGGTCTCACTCTATCACCCAGGATGGAGTGCAGTGGTGTGATCTTGGCTCACTGCAACGTCCACTTCCCAGGCTCAAGCGATTCTCCTATCTCAGCCTCCCAAGTAGCTGGGACTACAGGCATGCGCCACCATGCCTAGCTAATTTTTGTATTTTTAGTGGAAACAGGGTTTCAGCATGTGCTCTCGAACTCCTGACCTCAGGTAATCCACCTGTCTTGTCCTCCCAAAGTGCTGGGATTAGAGGCATAAGCCACTGCGTCTGGCAAGAGAGCTTCGAATGTGGGGAAGTGAAGAGGCACCAATGAGGGCAGGCTGCTTAGGTAAAAGGCCCCCCAGACCCCACGTATTCGACTCTCCAGATGGGGCCCAGCAGAGTGGTGAGCTGTGTCCTTTGACTTTTATCACATGCTGCAGCTTTTCTGAGGCCACCACTTGTGTTCCCAAGTCCCTTTATGTTTGTTCTGATCAACGAAGGCCATCACTCCTGTGTTCACCACTGGGGATGAGGGAGACCTTGGCCATAATGGCAGTCCTCCCTCCGTGGGACCCCAGTCAGTTCAGCGCACCTATTTCCCATCACACCCAAGACAGACAGATGCTAGGGCCCTTCAGCAGGGAATGGGTGTGGGCTGGGATGACTCACCTGCTCTGTGGCCGCCTACAGTGCAGCTCAAAGCCCTTGGGAATGAAAACACTTCCCTAGGACAGGCACAGAGGCTCTCCTTAGAGACAGCAGTTTGGGTTCCTGCTTCTGCAAATGCCTGTCACCGTACTGATGTTTCAAAGCCCAGGTCAGCGAGGAGCCATCCAGCTGGATGGCCATGGAGAACAGGCAGAATCAGCAGCCTCAGAAAGCAGTGCCCTGATCTGGGTATCAGATGACCCAG